AATATCCCCCACAATATCAAATTGTATTATTTAACTTCCTATGTTTTGTAACATTATAATTGTGTATTATTTAACTTCCTATGTTTTGTAACAATAATCAGATGACTTCTTACTTCAATAAACTGTAAAACAGCGTCAAGCACATTGTTTCTTTTTTTGTTTAGATACAAATAAAAGCAAACTTGAACACATATGATCAAAGTTATTCAGTAGGGACTTTGACCTTAAAGCAGCAGGCCTCCAGAAGTTAACAGAAAAGCTACGTCATACTTCTTTTTTGAAAATCCCCTCCTGCCCCTTACAAAAAAACATTATAGTTGAAGGGAAATAAAAATGACACTTGTCAAAATTTTTATATTTTTAACTTTCTTGCACTTTGAAAAAACGCAGTTTGCTTTTCCGCCCAACAAAGATTTCCTTTGATTTTTATCTACGCTTTTTTGCTTTCGAGCTACTTACTAGTTATAACAACTTCTCGTCGTGGCGAAAACACCAAATATAACTCTAATTTGTTTCGCAGTACAAAAAATAATTTCTCAAATGTAACAAACAAATTTTACCCCAATGATTTGAAGATTTTTCATTTCTGGGCCTTAATATCATAATGTTAATTTTGTTACTTGCGCGGTAATGAGGTGTGAAGAATAAATTTTTTGAAAAATTATTTATAATCGTGAATTCCCTGATAAACAATCCAAACTTTCCCGCAGTGCGTTACTTCCCTTTATCAGTACAGTCAACAACGAAGAATTAAAGGGAAATCACTGCGTGGAGATTGTGAACAATTGTGTTTTCGCCGTTTCGTGTGATTAGGCTGTAAAAAGTGCAAGTGTTATTTCAATTTTGTTTTAGGCTTAACTTATTCAAATGAATATACTGGGATCCTTCATATTTACAATCAGTTTACCGGACAAACTTTATTCCTGTCAAATAAGGCTTTATGTTTTGCTTCGATTAAAAAATCATCCTGTCTGAATCGTACACACACTTTCTATTTCAAAGTAAATAACAACAAAACCACTCTCAGGCAAATATTGTTGATTCAAATCTTTATTTACTAACATACCCTTTTGAACTGGTCATGCGGGGGAATAATCTGTTCTGCGCATACCCGAATACTGAGGCCCTTAATGGCTTATTATACCCCCAAAAACAAAGTTTGGGGTGTATATAGGAGTCACCTGGTGGCCGGTTGGTCGGTCGGTCCAGACGTCCGTTGCATTTTCCTTGTCCGTAGCATAACTTGAAGACTAATGGTTGGAATTCAATATAACTACATACAGCGGTCAAGCACATTGAAAGGAAGTGCAGTGCACAAGAACCATAACTCTATCTTGACTAATTACAGAGTTATTGCCCTTTGTTACTTTTCCTTGTCCGGGGCATAACTTGAAAACTACTGGTTGGAATTAAAAACAACTTCATACAATTGTCAAACACAATAAGGGGAAGTGCAGTGCACAAGAACCATAACTCTATCTAAAGTAATTACAGAGTTATTGCCCTTTGTTACTTTTCCATTGCTTTCTTTTGTCCGGACCATAACTTGAAGACTAATTGTTGGAATCATTATAACTTCATGCAATGGTCAAGCACATTGAGAGGAAGTGCAGTGTTCAAGAACCATAACTCCATCTTGACTTATTACAGAGTTACTGCCCTTTGTTACTTTTCCTTGTCCAGAGCATGACATGAAAACTACTGGTTTGAATTCAAAACAACTTCATACAATGGTCAAGCACAATAAGGGGAAGTGCTGTGCACAGTAACCATAACTCCATCTTGACTAATTACAAAGTTATTGCCCTTTGTTACTTTTCCATTGCTTTTTTTGTTACTTTTCCATTGTGTATTTTTTTGATAATATAAAAGAACATCAAAATAAAAAAGCTGAAGAAAAACAAAAGCATAATGGGCCTTTAAAATGTTATTTTTAAACCTCGGGGAGATCGATACCCCACAATCCCCTCTATACCCGCAGTGAGAATTTTACATTATTTTGAAGCTCGCTCTTAATGTGCGACTACTTAAACAGTTGATATTTTTTGACTGCCTGTACGGACTACTACTACTTAAAGCCGCATCTTCACCTAGTCAAGTTTCTAATGTGTCACATTTAGCTAAATGAATGGCTATTTTAACATATTATCAGGCAAATTTTTTACTGAAATGTCTTACTAAGATTACCCAGAATTTATACCTTTGTCTATGCAAAGACTATCATATTTCTGTAAAATGTGTAAATAACAAACGGGAAAATGATGCATTTAGCTAAAACAATGGAGTTAATGAAAGGTGTACATTCTTTTAAAATAAATGGAAAATTTTAGAAAAACATATTTTAAGCTTAAAGCTGCATGCCATGCAGATGAGTCAAAATATTTCAATAAAATCAAACTTGAGAAATATGCACTACGATTATAGGAAATGTAAAATGATTCAAGTAATATTTTACATGTTATGTGCGGTCAATGACTGAGTTTTCAATATTTACAACTATATTCCTATTGCGTTACTAACGCATTAAGGGTTATTTATGCATATTTTGACAACTTTTTGGTAATTTACGTAAGTTATAAGTGCCATTGATAATGTGCAAATTGCTTCCTTTTGGTTATTCCACAATATTATACATTCAAATAAATTTTCAAAATTTTCATGAAAATTAGCGTGAATCTGGAGGCGTGCTGCATTGATACAAATTCTTTTTTTGGTGATTTATTTTGTGAAAGTTCTTCACTTACTAATCAAGACCATTTAAATCCCTATTGATTCAGGGCACATGTTTTGTGTCTATTTAATACCTTGATTTTTGTTTACCATTGGCTTTGACTACACTATATTATTTAAAACATAATGAACATAAATTTCTCTGACCCCAAAGTGCGGTTGTTTGCCTGATGTTGAAAAATGCATATGTACCTGTTTAACGCACTTTGGGGTCGAAATTGGACCCCAAAGTGCGTAACGCACTATGGGGTCCGACCCCAAAGTGCGTGGTTCGACCCCAAAGTGCGTTTGACCCTAAATTGCGGTGTTACAGTGCATTTAAAGCGACCCGGCGTACGGTATAACTTTAAAATTTGACATTAACGACGTCGCAAGCGTATTGTCTTTAATGGAGCAGCTCTTTACTCATGTACGAAGTAGGCTAATACGTGTTTCACATGTTGTTAATTGCGGCTGATCAACTGCCTGTATCCATATATCTCTGTACAAGTCAGTATCATACTGTATTGTAATAGACTGTATGATTATAAATGAGCTCTTGTAATGACGCAAACTTCCGTTCTTTCCTTGTGTAATTTGATTGCTTGAAAATCGCACATATAATAAACTATTATATGTCTTATATTAATATAATTTTGGTAATTATTTATGATTATGTATCATACATACGAGAAAATATAGAGGATATTTGTTTGTTTTGCATGTAAGATTGAAATATAATTTCACTGAGTCAACACCAGATGCACTATTTTCACGAGTGGCGTAGCCACGAGTGAAAATATAATAGCTGGTGTTCACGAATGAAATATATTTCAATCTTATATGTAAAACAAATAAATTTTCTTTTTATTTCATGCTTTTTTAAGTGATTTTAAGTATTTTTTACTGAATTTGCCGCGTAACGTCGCGCGTTCTCCTTTTTGACGTCATCATATCATGACGTCACATCATCAATTTTGAAATATAGTTCTGTTAAATTCCTCTAACTTTGTTACGTTTTTAAACATGATGTATGGTGACTTCGACTTTCTTTTCCTAAAGAAGCAAAATTTACGCATGACTGTATTTATTTCTGCCCGTTATTCCATTTAGTTATGATTTTCTTTTTATCCGCATTCAGATATAGTTCGGCTACAGTAGGTACAGTGAAAATTATATTTTATAAATTTCACTAGTGGTTTATCAGAATATAATCATCTGATATATTACAATAAAACACTAGAAAGCATGAAATAAAAAAGAATAATACAACTAAGTACAAAATTGTCATTATTAAAAAAAAATATAACGCATAACCAATTTTGAACAGGACTGTTAAATTGTAAAAAAAACAACAAAACACGATAAGACTATTACAAAGAATAGTAAAATGAATTATACAATTGTAAAACAAGAATATAATAATCACACTGGCCAAAGCTTTCGCAGAAGCGGTGGGTCCATCGAAGCCGAGGTAAAATGACCCAAAAATGAAAAGTGGTTAAACGCTTTTAACCCAAATCGGAAAAGAATTACACATAATTGCGGATTTATATATTACATTGTAATTAAGATCCTTGACAAAATAGAATTTATATCGAAATCAAATCAGAGAACATAAATTTATTTATTATATACCTATAAATGAAATATTAAGAAATATTGATGAAATAAAACGCTTATTTTCATTTTCGTACTTCACTGTAAAAAAAGTATTTTAGTGAAACATATTTTCTGTGTTTTCAATGGTGTCTTGCCGGACTTCTCTCTTTTTTTAAATTCTGCCAGTACACAAAATTTAAGGAATAGTCTTCTAATTTGTAATTTAAAAATAGAGACAAATGTATATAATAAACAGAAACCTCAAGTTTTTTTCTATAAAAACATGATTTATTTTCATCTTGTGGCATGAAAATGATCACATTTCACTCGTGGCTACCGCCACTCATGAACTATTTTCTTCTCATACCACTTGATGAAAATAAATCGTGTATTTACAGAAAAAAACTTGAATATCCCCTATATATTTTTAACATCTTTTGCATATTTGTCCTGCAGTTTATCTATGTAAGAATGTATTTTTTATGTGTTTAGGTTTTAGGACCACAATGGAGCTCCTTTTATTAAATACCTTAACAAACTTATATATTATAAACCGTTTTTAACTTTAAAGTCCCAGCTTCTTTCAATATTTCATTTTGATACCACTTCCAATTGTTCTTGCGTCATAATGCTCGAATGACGAATAAAAACTGTTCCGCGCATGTCACGTGATGGTGTGCCAACTTCCGAATTGTCCAGGCGGGGAACAATAGTTTCATATAAATACATAGCAAATTAAATCGTGTGACTGAAAAGAGATCGGAAAATGTTTTGCTGGCGTCTTTAACGGATTTGTTCGGTGAGAATCAATCAGTGGTTAAACATACAAGATTGTCCCCGAGCTCTCAAAATTCATGGTCGAGTGATTTTCCATGCACTTTACTGTTAGCTACATTTGCGTGTAGTTTGTGAGAGGGACGTGACGGAACAAAAGTATGGCAGGTTTGGAATTGTTTCTTTTATTTTAGGACGTCGAAGAACTTAGTATCAATAAAAAATGTAAGTTATTTTATATTTTATTAATCCGAAACGTAATATTATTACACATGAAAATCGGGAAAGCGTTACTGTTTTTTTAAGGAAAAAATGTAAATATTTCACAGAAAATCCGGGAAATGTTATTGTATCACATAAAATTTGTAAATTATGAAATATTTTTCGTAGGTACAATTTGTTTGACACAAAGTTAACTTTTCCATGAATGAGGACTTTAATTATAAATTAGCATTAATCATAAGGATTATACATGTTAAACTTTTGATTTTTCATGTGACGTTTCGATCATAGTTATTTTTGACCATTATGATAATTGGCTTATGATATAAAACAAAATACAGATATGAATGGATAGTTGACATATGAGGTCTAACAAAGTATTGACACGGATGACTGACGTGTGATATGTAAAAATGATGGCCATGTTGATGACATTGTTGTTGATGATGTTGTTTTGATGAGGACGTCCATGGGTGTTACAGTGATGATGATATGACGTTGTTCAAGTGAGCATCAGGTAAATTTAGTTATTTATAGAAACGAGCTTTTTTTAGAAACTAGTTATTTTTAGACAAATGAGTTTTAACTTTTCTTCGTAAGTTTTATCAGTTTCAGAAGATGAAATTTCAAAAGGAACCAATGAACTTGCAAGTAATCATACTATATCGGGCCATGCTTGTGGAACAAGGACAGCACACATTATGCAACATTAAAACAGCATACTTATTTAATTCAATTTACATTTGGAAAATTTGACATTATAAGAAATTTGATATTCATATATACATGTAAATGGTATTATGTCAGTAACTGAAATTGCGTAGAATTACAAAATTTTATTTTAGAAATGAAGATTCTTTGTCAAAATTGAAAACTAGGTTTTATGTTTATGTTTATTGATGATATTTTGTGTGCATTGTTTATATCGATTTTGTTTGTTTTTGGTCTCTTTTCCCAATTTTTAGCTCACCTGAGCATGCTCAGGGTGAGCTTTTAGGATCGATGATTGTCCGTCGTCCGTCGTCCGTCCGTCGTCCGTTCACATTTAGTTGTTAACACTCTAGCGGTCACATTTTTGCCTCAATCATCATCAAACTTGGTCAGGATGCTTATCTAGTTGATAGCTCGGATGAGTTCGAACATGGGTCATCTAGGATGAGAAACTAGGTCACAAGAGCTAAAAATAGAAAAACCTTGTTTACACTCTAGAGGTCACATTTTTGCCTCAATCATCATCAAACTTGGTCAGGATGTTTGTCTAGGTGATAGCTCGGATGAGTTCGAACATGGGTCATCTCGGATGAAAAAGTAGGTCACCGGAGCTAAAAATAGAAAAACCTTGTTAACACTCTAGCGGTCACATTTTTGCATCAATCATCATCAAACTTGGTCAAGATGCTTGTCTAGGTGATAGCTCGGATGAGTTCGAACATGGGTCATCTCGGATGAAAAAGTAGGTCACCGGAGCTAAAAATAGAAAAACCTTGTTAACACTCTAGCGGTCACATTTTTGCATCAATCATCATCAAACTTGGTCAGGATGCTTATCTAGTTGATAGCTCGGATGAGTTAGAACATGGGTCATCTCGGATGAAAAAGTAGGTCACCGGAGCTAAAAATAGAAAAACCTTGTTAACACTCTAGGGGTCACATTTTTGCATCAATCATCATCAAACTTGGTCAAGATGCTTGTCTAGGTGATAGCTCGGATGAGTTCGAACATGGGTCATCTCGGATGAAAAAGTAGGTCACCGGAGCTAAAAATAGAAAAACCTTGTTAACACTCTAGCGGTCACATTTTTGCATCAATCATCATCAAACTTGGTCAGGATGCTTATCTAGTTGATAGCTCGGATGAGTTCGAACATGGGTCATCTCGGATGAAAAAGTAGGTCACCGGAGCTAAAAATAGAAAAACCTTGTTAACACTCTAGCGGTCACATTTTTGCATCAATCATCATCAAACTTGGTCAAGATGCTTGTCTAGGTGATAGCTCGGATGAGTTCGAACATGGGTCATCTCGGATGAAAAAGTAGGTCACCGGAGCTAAAAATAGAAAAACCTTGTTAACACTCTAGTGGCTACTGTTGTGATCCAAATATTCTGTTAATTGGTCTGAAAGTTTGTTTTGATGATTTCTAAGTCAAGTTCGAACATTGGTCATCTTGGATGAAAAAAACTAGGTCACACCGCCCAAATATGGAAAAACCTTGTTAACATTCTAGTGGTCACATTTTCGACTCAATTATCATCAAACTTGGTCAGGATGCTTGTATAGGTAATTGCTTGGATGAGTTCGAAATCGCATGTGGAACTAGGTCACCGGAGCTAAAAATAGAAAAATCTTGTTAACACTCTAGTTGCTACTGTTTTGATCCAAGTATCCTTGAAATTGGTCTAAAAGTTTGTTTTGATGATTTCTAGGTCAAGTTTGAATATGTGTCACCTGGGTAAAAAACTAGGTCGCACTGCTCAAATATGGATAATCCTTGTTAACACTGTAGTGGTCACATTTTTGACTCACCTGTCATGAGACTTGGTCAGAATGCTTGTCTAGGTAATTGTTTGGATGAGTTTGATAAATCAGGTGAGCGATCTAGGGCCATCATGGCCCTCTTGTTTGGAGTTGGTGTGTGATTGGGGTTATTCGATTTTGGTTCGGTGTTATTAGTTTGTCTCTTTGTGGGAGTTGTTTATGTGTATTATGGTAGTTTTTCTTTGTCTTTGTTGGAGTTGTTAATGTCATTTGTGTGTTATGGTTGTTTTTCTTTGTCGAAAATTTTGGCGTTATTTCTGAATAGTTTGGGAGTTGGTGGTCGATAAGACAGTTGATTCTTTGCTGATACATTGTGATCGATTTGAAATTTTGGATTTTGTTAAACATGTACATGTACCAGTCGAATTATTATTATTCATCATTTCAAATAGTTATATCAATTTCATTGGAAATGGGAGACACATTTATAGTTATATTGAATTTTTAGTTGTACAATACCCACTTTTGTATTATTAAATTGATGTTTAATAGTAATGTGATATTTTCGATAATTATATAAATACATAGGTGGAGAATGCGGCAATATATTAAAGATAACATTGATTCTTTTAGATTTAGAACGTGACATTTCTAATAATGACATTCGGGTGTTGAATGCGACATGTTTAACAATTATATATACTGATTATTTTAGATGCAGAATGCGACATTTTAGACTAGTATAATATTATTGTTCTTTGGTTTTTCGTTTGTTTTCAGATGACGTAAGAAAACATCACTGGATTACTTTTGAAAGACAAAACTAGATAAAATTGTATATTTCTAAATATTACCACTATATAATTCATACTATTGAAAAAAAAAAAACGTTTATTGATCATTTAGCAGACGTAAAGCAGGAAATGGCGGGAAGAATCCTAGCAGACGACAGTTGTCGCGCAGATGCAATCATGCACCATATCAGACTGCCCGAAATTACAGGCTGGCCCAGCTCTATACTGGACTCGCTTTCAGCATGTTAGGGTTTGAAAAAGGAAATCATAACTTTGTAACGTATGTCTTGTCTACTTTTTGAAAAATAAACTTTCGTGTCAATGTAATAATTATGTTGACATATCATTATTGTCTAATGTTTCATAATGAACCATTTTTAGCCCAACTGTTTGAAAAACGAGTAAGGGCTATTTTAGTCACTTGGTCGTCTGTTCTCGTAAAACACTTCGTTTTGCATATGTTTTGTGTGTAACTTCCTACCTCAGAATTCATTATGATTGTGTAACGGGGAACATAATCTAAACACCTTTAACTTTAAACTAGATTTTGATTTATATAATTACATGTATGCCACTTAGTCAACTTGATTTAAAGCAGTCATGTTTAAAATAATAATTTAAGTTTACAATATATTCTTATCAAATGAGCATAATAATGCTGAGTTATGGGTCATTAAGAACATTTCAGTAATTTAAACAAATAACTTACAATTATTTTTAAAATGCTAAAAAAATGTAACATTTGTTCGACCATGTTACCAATAGTGTATCCACAGGGGGGGCAAAA